ATTGCTCCATTTCCTGTATTTGTTCATTTATCCACTAAATAATTTAATAATGGTTTGTAGAGTTCAGGTTTTGGATGATTTGAACAACAACTACTTAAAATGTGTTCTAATGTTGTACTTTATTTCCAGTGTAGTGTGACATATTTCAGGTGATTCTGTGTGAAGTGTCTCTCTGCTGATTTGCATGAGAGGCTTCTTAAAGGGAAGTGAAACAATGTGTGAGTGAGAGACTGATGGAGCAGAACCAACATCTGACAGAAACTCCTTAAAGGAGAAACGCTCTCACAGTAAAGGTGTCCCTGGTTGATTGACAGCTGTGTGCTCCCTGTCCTCTAATCTGATTGGTGTCTCCTAGGTGATGTCCGTCCCACCCTGATGGTGCTGCCCCCCCTCCAGAGAAGAGCTGCAGCAGGGGAAGGCCACACTCATGTGCCTGGCCAACAAGGGCTTCCCCTCAGACTGGAGTCTGGCCTGGAAGGTGGACGGCAGCAGCAGCAGCAGCAGCAGCAGCTGGGAGGAGAGCAGGAGCCCCGGGGTGCTGGAGAAGGACGCCCACTACAGCTGGAGCAGCACCCTGAGGCTCCCTGCAGACCAGTGGAGGAAGGTGGGCTCTGTGACCTGTGAGGCCACCCAGGGCACCCAGATTCCGCTCTCAGAGACACTGAGGAGAGACCAGTGTTCCCAGTCCTGAGCTGACTCACTGGGACTCTGCTTTCTCTCTCACACTGCTCTCAGTCTGCTCTCTGGCTCTCAGGACATGTTTCAACATCAACCTGTTTTTGCTTTGTCAATGGTTTCAACATTTTAAATAATAAAGATGAATGTGTGTATTTTAAAAGTGGTATGTCTTCTGATTCCCTTTCTCTAAAATATTATATAAAAGGAACCTCATTCACTTTAATTCACAAAAGATTCATCCTAGTTTTATTTTTGTTAATCAAGATTGGTACCAATAACCATAGCATGAACATTTTAATGGTAAACCGCAGAGCTCTCTCTTATCACTAATGTTAAAGTAAATCCATGTGTGATGTTCATGTGTTGTTAAACTTTACCTTGAATATATTCTCAAAATCTGAATCAAAAATATTTCCAGGATTATAAAAAGCAGTAAATGATCTGCATAAAGTTAAATAACATGAATCTAAATTGATATTTTACCTATCTAGATGAAACATTACATACAGTACTACAGTCTCTGTCTTTTAGCAGAATTTAAACGTTGATTTTTCAGTACTTGAATTGAAACTAATATTATACTAAAACAAAGCTCCTATCGTCTTTTCCTAACCACTACTCCATGACGTCTGAGGGAAACGTCACCGAGTTAATGAATAGTGGTTTTTATGGTGTTGTTTTATGATTTATGAACCTGGACAACAGTGAAAAATATATTATTCATTAGGTTGGAATTGAAATATAAACGTAAATTGAAACTTATTGTTGCTCACATGTATTAATCCACATGAATCCCAATACGTATGATTGTATGAAAATATTTTAAAGTAAATACAATTTTGATTTATTATAAACTTGTTAGACCTCAACCTATCACTGTGTATATCACCAATCAAACGTGTTTGATCAAGTTTAAGAAACCTCAACTCAGTAAAGACTGAGCAAAGTTGACTTTATTTGATAATTTTACAGTTAAAAAGTAACATTCATATTTTGTCTTTTGATTATTATAGTGTTGAACGTTCAAAGCCAATCCCTTTGGCAAGTTACAATATAACTTGTAAAATGTTTAATAAGCACCGTAACTTTCATGATATTTAGTTCTCGGTCTCGGTCGGTTGTTTCCGTGAACGGCCGAATGTTGTGTCTAGGTTAATGTCGCGGCCGCAAGGTATTGTGGGACAACCTTTTCTGCTTTCCTTTCCTAAAGGAGTGTTTCCTAATCAAAGGAATGTTTCCTAAAGCTAAAGCCTTATGTTGTTAAATTAATGTACAATGAACTGTAAAACAACTTACCACTATGTACCTCTGTCAAGGATCTGATTAGAAGGATTGACTATACAGTGACGGGTCCTAAAACCCGGAAGTAAACTCCTTCCGGTTCCTTCGACAAAAAGCAATGCAATTTCTCCATAGGATTTTGGAAAATAGCTCGAAATAAGTTCTGTGGTTGACACACATTTAAGAGACGGATCACTCAGCCGGATAATATCCACATGTCTACCATACTTTTATAATTTTATAATCATAAATCTATCGATTAGATTTCAAGCAAACATGAAACATTACAAATGAAGCATTCACTAAATATTTCTAAATGAATCTATATTAATGTATTGATTATCGGTTCAAATGTTACTTAGAATATACATTTGAAAGGGACGATATTAAAGAGTGGTAATTAAAGCTTTTTGCAAACTTATATTTACTCACAAACAACAACAAAACATTACCTTAATAATAGCAATTGTTTGCATGCTGAAAGTGTTATTTTGTTATTAGTTTAAAATTGTATATTAATCAAACATATATATATATTTTTATTTCTATGCAGCTGTTCATTCGGATCACTTCCTCTTTATTGGAGGAGGTTTTTGTACGACGTTGTATCACTGTGTGAACGGGACGCTGTTACCCTGCTGACAATAATAATCTCCTGCATCTACAGTCTGAACTCCAGTGACGGTCAGAGTGAAGACAGTCCCAGATCCACTTCCACTGAAACGATTTGAAACTCCAGTCTGAAGAGTTGTAGCAGAATAAACCAAGAGTTTAGGAGCTTCTCCAGGTTTCTGAAGGTACCAGTGAAGGTGAGTACTAACACTTGTACTGGCTGTACATTTGATAGAAAGAGTCTGTCCTGGAACAACAGACAGAGATCCAGGAGACTGAGTCAGGAGTGTTTCTCCTGATGAACCTGGAAAACATGAAAACAGCAGAAGGGTTATTGAGACAAACAGCGTGCAGAAAGATGATCAACACCCAAACAGAAGAGCATCCTCTCTTTAACATGGAGAACAGATGGAAGAAGGTGCATGCTGCTTGTCTCAGTGCTTCTCCATCATAGCAGATCATCATGTTGGGGAACCTGGTTGCATCCTGAAGCAAAGTTTTCAGAAGAGAGTCTCACCCTGAACAAGGAGCCCCAGGGTGGCCAGCAGTAGAGTCAGTGACATCATCATTGTGCTGCCGGCGTGTCAGTGGCTCTGAAAGGTCTGGACAGCCGCTGATCACCTCTGGCCTCTTAACGTCTGGGAGCAGAGAGGCAGGACACATATGCAAACACACAGAGTCAGTGAAGTGTAGCTGTCCTCAAACAGCATGGTGTTCCCCCCTCAGTGCTGACAGCATTCACTGTTTCATGTTTCACTCCATAATGGGCTCTCAAAGATTACTATGTCGAACACAAGAGAAGACGGTTATTGATACAGATTGTTAAAAGGTTTCACACCAGAATACAAATCCAGCGATGCAAGTTTTCTTATCCAGTAGCTACTTTAATTTACATGATTCATTTTCACAAAAATGTAAAGTCTGAAGTCGGCAATTCATCCTTTTAGTAAATCTAAAAGGAGAGTGGCATTAGACAGAATAATGTCTTTAACAGCTGATCACATTATGGTCATTAAGATGAAACAAGGCAGTTTTATATGATGTAAAGATGAATATCATTGGTGGGGAATATAATCGTATGATGAATATACTCAGAGAAGATACCTGAGATGCTGATGCTTTTCTTTCATCTCCATAAAGTTGTATTATTAAAATTCTCAGATGCTCCTTTTTCCTCATCTGTTCAAATGTACTGTCTGAAATAGGGCGAACACTTTAGATCAGACATTGACTGTTGAGCAGCATGAAGTGTTGTATTCACATCTGTTGTTTACCGTTTACATTATTTGTTAAGTTGAATCCCAATGTGCTTCAAGCTAAGCTGGAGATGATCATTTACAGATTCATTCGTCCATTTAAACTGTGTCACTCCATTTCTTCTTTACTTTCACAGCCATCACTCACTGAAATGTCCAAAGGACTGTTAAATGAACTTTGACCGGCTCTTTGAAAATATCTCATGTAACAGCTTGATTTGTATTCATGGCTCCACATTAAATAAAGAATCCAGTTTAAGATACTTGTGATCCCTTTTAGAGCTCTGCATGGTCAGACAGCCTCCTTTATCTCTGACCTTCTACAGGGCTGTATCACTAGGAGGTCAGGAACGTCTCATGATCAGGGCTTGCTGGATTTACCTCACTACAGACTTTAAAGTGAAGGTGACGTTTGATTTGAAGTCTGGACTTTTGATCTTTGGGAGTCGCTCCAGTTAGACAGAAGTGAACACTGTTCAAAAAGAAGCTCCAAGAGCACTGGAGCATGGTGCTGCTGATGCAAAGTGTCTCTCTATGGAAAAGCTCTGACTGACTCCAACAGGGACCTGGATTATTGATCACGAGGAAGAAGATAAAGAAGATGGACCTCCCCTGGGGAAAATTCTGTTTCCTCTCTGTTTTCCACACACACACACACACACACACACACACACACACACACACACACACACACACACACACACACACACACACACACACACACACACACACACACACACACACACACACACACACACACACACACACACACACACACACACACACACACACACACACACATTACAAGTACATAGGAACATACAGGAACATGTGCCAGGGAGCACATGGGGGTTCGGTGCCCTGCTCAAGGGCACTGCCGTCCGGAAAGGGTCAGGGCTCACTTGTTCTTTCCAAAAAGTATTTTTCAATTTCATAATTCACTCTCACACAAATCAATGCTCTCTTCCTCCACAACAATCTAAAATAAAGCTTTATAAAATGACAATGATTTACATTTTGCCCGATTGATTAGAGAGTGTACTTAATTAAATATTTCTGTTTTGCTTTTTAAATGTATAACAGCTCACAAAAAAAGATTCAATACTTTTCCATATCTTGTGAATTTGTTTTAAAAAATGTAAGCAGTTATTATATAAACTGGGTAAACTGTGGATGTGTTTGGTGAGTTTGTTTGTGTCAAAGTCAGAGAGCCGTGTCTCTCAGTGAGAGGTTTTTGTACGGCGGCTCAATGACTTTGTATCACTGTGGTACACGTTCGGTGGAGGAACCAGACTGGATGTTGGAAGTAAGTCAAATGCTAATTTATAAGAGAAATGTCTCTTTTGTTGTACTTTTTATTTAGCAAACTAAGAGAAATAGTTGCCTCTCCATGTCATTGTATAAATTCTTCTCAGATATATTTTGCACTGAGAGGCTGACTTTACTCCAGCAAAAGACGTTTAAATGTTTTCATGAGAGTTAAACTGTGAACAGAAAATAAATCATTAATTCCACTTTTAATGGTGAAGTAGCATCTTGAGGGCTGGTAGGTTTAGTTCAGTGTGTCAAAGTCAGAGAGCCGTGTCTCTCTACAGTGGGAGGTTTTTGTACGGCGGCTCAATGACTTTGTATCACTGTGGTTGACTTTTGGTGGAGGAACCAGACTGGATGTTGGAAGTAAGTTTCTGCACAAAAACTAAATATGATTTTGTTAAGAGACTTTTTAATTCTGTGTTAGAGTGTTTGAGAGATAGATTTATATTATTTTAATTGTAACTTTTAAGTAGTATTAATATTCACTTTTGTATTTCTCTTCATCATTGAGCAAAGTCGGAGAAGCTTTTCTTGAAATGTCTTTACACATTCCAAACATAATGTCATTTAAACAGCTTGGAATGTGAAAAGATGAAACTGCTGATTTTTCCTTAACTTATTCTTATTTTTCCATCTCGTTTCTCCTGTTCTCAAATAAATTATGAATACATTTTTTTATAAACAGTTGAACAGAGTAAAGATAACGATGGATATTAAAAAATGTGTTGAATTATTTCAGACATTATTCTAAAGTTTGTAAAACTGTGATTGAGATTCACATTGAGCACAATTGATTGCTCCATTTCCTGTATTTGTTCATTTATCCACTAAATAATTTAATAATTGTTTGTAGAGTTCAGGTTTTGGATGATTTGAACAACAACTACTTAAAATGTGTCCTAATGTTGTACTTTATTTCCAGTGTAGTCTGACATATTTCAGGTGATTCTGTGTGAAGTGTCTCTGTGCTGATTTGCATGAGAGGCTTCTTAAAGGGAAGTGAAACAATGTGTGAGTGAGAGACTGATGGAGCAGAACCAACATCTGACAGAAACTCCTTAAAGGAGAAACGCTCTCTCAGTAAAGGTGTCCCAGTGTCTGCTGATTGATTGACAGCTGTGTGCTCCCTGTCCTCTAATCTGATTGGTGTCTCCTAGGTGATGTCCCTCCCACCCTGACGGTGCTGCCCCCCTCCAGAGAAGAGCTGCAGCAAGGGAAGGCCACGCTCATTTGCCTGGCCAACAAGGGCTTCCCCTCAGACTGGAGTCTGACCTGGAAGGTGGACGGCAGCAGCAGCTGGGAGGAGAGCAGGAGCCCCGGGGTGCTGGAGAAGGACGCCCACTACAGCTGGAGCAGCACCCTGAGGCTCCCTGCAGACCAGTGGAGGAAGGTGGGCTCTGTGACCTGTGAGGCCACCCAGGGCACCCAGATTCCGCTCTCAGAGACACTGAGGAGAGACCAGTGTTCCCAGTCCTGAGCTGACTCACTGGGACTCTGCTTTCTCTCTTACACTGCTCTCAGTCTGCTCTCTGGCCCTAGCTCTCTCTCTTCCTCATTCATGATCAATTTTAATCAAATTGAATGATTGCAATACTTCAATTTTCATTATTGTAATTATGTGTATGCCATTAAAAAAATAAAGCAAATTAAATGTAAAATAATCAATGGACTTTTTTTATAGAAACCTTTGCTTTATCCCACATGTTAGAAATACAAGCTTTTAACAAATGTAGGATCTTACTCGTGGTTTTATTAATCCACTTTTGAATCACATCATCTGTTGCCATTTATCCACCGTTTGAGGCTATTTTCACCCGAGGTAAGCTAAACAACTACATAAATATATTGGTTATAAAATGTTATTCTCTTTTGCAAAACAACATGCTATCTGGCGCCCTCTTCTGGTTAGTAAAACAGTCATAGTATAGTATGTCGAAAATATTGTAAAGTCATTAAAGTACGTTCTAAATGTAATTGATATGATTTATATAAGTATAAGGACAATTCCATGACAAATTTCATAATATGTCATAACAAGTACACATATTTTATTCCATTAAAAACCATTGTTATTGTATGAAATGAAAAGTCACATTTCAAAAGAAATCCAAGTATAGTTCGTCAAAACATTAATATAAAAGTCTACAAAGTGTTTGGATAAATGTGAAAATTATACTATAGTATGTCAAAAATATTTTTAAAAAACATAATCGGAAGTCAATCACAGAGTATAGTTAGTATACCGAAAATATCAGACGAAAAATATGCAAAAAACGACATAGTATAGCCTTTCAAAAATAAGCTTAAAAACAACGTTGTTCAGTTTGTCTAAAATATCATAAAAAAAGGTTATGTCATAAATGTAAACAGTTTTAGAAAAAGTATAGTAATCTGTACATTTGCAGAAAAAAGTTTTAGTTTTAATGTGTCAGAAAATAAGTCATAGTACGTTTGACATTTCAGAGAAAACTACATACATGTTGAAAAAATGCAACATATATACATAGTCGACAGGTTGTACAGCAAAAAGAAATAGATGTAAAAAAGAAAAAATGCATGTCAAAAACGTTGAAAAAACGAAACAGAATAGTATCTAAAAAATATATGTTGAGTATGTCGAACATTTATTATTACAGGTCTCCCTTGAAAAAGAGATCGATGATCTCAATGGGACCACCTGGTTAAATAAAGATTTAATACAATTCGAAAAAAAGTATACATGGTATATAATGTCAAAAGTTTTAGAAAAAACTTTAGTTAGTCGTACATTTGCAGAAAAAAGGTTTAAAAAATGTGATAGTATAGTATGTAAAAAAGTCACACCAGTATGTCTTGAATATCAGAATAAACAACAGTGTGGTGAAGATATTACAAACAATGTCATTGTAAAGTAAGTCAAAATGATCATGAAAAAAAGTCATAGTATATAGAATTTTGAAAGAATAATTTGTCAGAAAACAGTATAATATGATTATCTCATTAAAGTACATTTTTGGGATTGTGGCCATTTACCCTCAGCTGGTTGAACCATGCAGCTGTGACACTGGAGACTCTTGGTTTGCTCTTCACTTCAGCGGCCTGCAGTTTGTTCTGTCAGCACTAGCAGCTGTTGTCCTCTAGGGGTCTCTGTGGGCTTTGCAATAGCTTAAGCCTTACACCCACAGTCAGCCCTGCGGGGGAGGGGTGAAGTGATGGGGGCCTACTGTATCGAGAGGGATGAGTCACCTTCTGAATGCGCTGAACACAGGAGGATATCACGGTAAAGCCTCTTGTGATTAGAGGGAACTTTCCCTCATTAAGGCCAGGTTGCTATGTTTGGTTCTGCTCCTCAGAGAGCGCATTCTCCCTTCTTCAAAAATAAAATAAAACCCCCAAATAGAATCATTCATTAATCTGTGCCTCTTGTTTGAATGGCAGATAGTGATTTTTAATTAAGTGGTATTATTGTGAGGATGAGAGGATCCCGAGGTTGTTCCCTGAAGGATTTAGAGTGAATGATCTTCGCTGTACAGTTAGTCACACTTTATTCCGGCTGCAATTAATATTATAGATGTATCTATAATAGATCTATAAAATGTTACCCAAACCCTGAGATGATGTTCTTAATGTGTAGCTTTGTCCACAACACAAAAGGTATTCCGTTTATGAAACTGAAATATTCACATTTATGAAGCTGTAATATGGTCATTTTGATATTGTTGTTTATTTAAATTTCACTCAAACCTATACATTGATTATCGAACGAGTTGGCTTTTAGTCTAAACGTAGACAACTTATCAATATCTCTTTGCTGCTACCCTTTATAATCATGATGATGATGATGATGATGAATATGCAGAAGTTTGGGGTTTTCAGATTGTACACAGCCGCTGCAGGTGAACAAATATTAGCTATTAATATATCTGATTAAGTGTAGAGTCATCCGTCTTTTAACAAAAACAAATCTTAAAATTCTAACCAAAAATCTATAATCATAAATCGACCCAAATGATGGCTGCTTGGTTGCAGATCTTTTAGTCAAAAACATTTATACTGTATGTATTTATTTCATTAAAACACAAAATATAAAATACTTTACCTTTCATCCTATTTTTTTATTCTGGAAAATATCAGCAATAGTTATGAACAGAGATATTTTCAAATGTGTGTACTCATAATTATAAAAGCAGTAAGAACAATATTTACATTTAAGAAGCTGAAGCCGGTGATTTATTTTGTGCTGATTTTGTTTAAAATATTGGTGAACTTATTTATGATTATTTAAAATGGTTGCCGATACATTTTCTGTAGATATTTCATTGTTGCAGATCCATTTCTGATCAATTTGAAATGAGAAATATGGCCCCCACAATATTAAATGTGAAATGTAATAAACAGCAAAATTGATAAAAAACACTTTATATAAAAACAAATATGGCGAGATGATATGTCAAAAATACAGTGAAGACACTTTAATGTTGTAAACAAATTTTTACTGATACAGTTAAGAATATTGATACAGCAATGTAAAGCTACCATAATGCACATACCTATGGACTTATGAATCACAATGGGCACTAGATGGATTATAATAAATAGTTGAACACAACATCTGTACACAGAAACATTGCCTCATAATCCATAGAAATGTACATATACCAGTACAACATTTATAATTCCATACATTTACAAATGACAAACAAAATTGATATCCTCCATTTTTTGCCTCTCCTTACTTCTATTTTTTGAAATAAACACAAGAAACTACTGAATTTATAAGGAATTATGTACAGGTTCCTAAACAAGAAACTCCATAAAAGGCACAATTGTCTATACAACATTTACAAAAAAAAAAAGATTGGTCATTATTATAATTATATGATTGCACATACAATATGAATGTCAGCATCTGTGCTTTGAAAGGTGATTTGCAACAAAACAAACCCCTGAAAGTGTTTTCAGTCTTACAAAGTGACAAGAATTACAAAAAGAGAACAAGAAGAGCTTTCCATGTTGGGTTTTCAGGTGGCAATGACCAGTCTGTCTTCATCATCACTGGACACCTCATTATAGTCATCGATGACCTTCTGCCAGCTGGTCACTGGCGAAGGTCGTGGAGGTGCAGGATCACTAGCTCCCTCTACGGGCGACTCTTTACCACCTCTGGTCTGAGGAGCTGGTGACCGCTGCTGCCGTGGGGACTTAACCCTTTCTTGCCTCTCGTCAGTCTGTGTGAGCTCTGCTCTGCTGCCGGGGGTCGCCCCTGGACAGCTGCTGCCCTTAAGAGGGGCGGGTTGTGACGCATGCATGCAGCCCCGCTCACCTCGAGATGGCTGTTCTCCCGGAGCTCCGGGGCTGCCCTGCCAGTCTGAGAGCCCAGAGAGAGGACTGAGGCTGGAGAGAGGGCTGAGAGAAGGAATGAGGGCAGGCAGGGCGATGTTAACGAACTGCAGACCTGGGACGTGTGTCTGGGGGCCGGTGCTGCTGTGGGAAGTGGGGTTGGCAGTTAAAACCTGCAGCCCCAGGGTGGCATTGAGGGTGAGCGCTTGCTGGGATATTAGCTGGGTGGATGCCAGGCCTGTGTTGGTCAGCCCCATGAGGTTTAGTGTCTCCAGACCTAAGGGCTGTATGGTTTGAGCCTGCAGGCCGGTGACCTGCCCCAAGGGGAAGCAGGGCAACACACTGCTGATTGGCTGGGTTGACTGGCCCTCTGGATGGGGGGGAGTGATGGGAGCTGGTAACGGGCTTGTGTTTCTGTGAATGACGCTCACTGTGGGGATGGTGAGCTGGACGGGGCCGGCCTGGATTGGTACAAAGGTGGAGTAAGCTGCCAGGCCGGCGGGCACCAGCTGGATCCCCCCAACTGGGACCATGCTGTAAGAGGAGTAGGAGGGCTGTTGGGAGTGCAGGGGCAGGTGGCTGAACAGGTGTGTCTGGGTCTGTGTTCCGTATGTTTGGGATAGACTCTGTGGGCGAAAGTGCATGAGACCTTGAGAGCCATAAGAGGAAGTCTGAGTGCCCCGGTCCACAGGAAAGCCTGATTCACTGGCAACAGCAGGAGGAGCAGAGGAAGCGTCCTGTTCAAAAGAGAGAAAGTTTAATATTTGACTTAATTGTGGCTTAATTGTGGTATAAGTGATTAAAGAATTTGTTTGGATTTTTTCTAAATGTGGTTGTTTGAGGTTCTAATCCATATTCAGTGTATGGCCTACAGTAAATTGTGGTTGACAACCCCGAGTTTGGAGAAACAAACGTAAGTGTAGCTATGCTATATTCCGAAAATGCTCACCGATTTACCTTGCTGTCAGACCACCCTTTCCGACGGGGAGCAAAAGTCGCTACCAACGCTCTATTCAAAGCCACCAAACTCCATTTAAATAACATGAATTTTACCTCGCGGAACAAGGTAACAAGATCAAAGACATTTTCGGTATTTTCTTTTTAATAGGTTTCTTTCTTTGCCAAATTCAGTGTTTTCTTCTTCCTGACACTTGTCAATTGTTCTATTGGATTATGCTTTTTTGTATTCTTTTCAACCTAAAATGATAATTTAATTCAGATGTCTGAACAGAAATGAATGGTATCCTGATATTAGGGCTAATGAACATGTTTACCCTGCTGGTAGTCCTTTTTTCCCAACTCCTCTCAGGATCTACTGTAGGTTATACACTGCCCTTGGACCTCATTAAACCCCACTTTATAAATAAAAAACAGCCCTTTTTTATGAAATTGCATTCCCACCAAACCTTATCAGAATGCATACAAATATTCACCTTTTTTCAAGGCATTCACAGAAGCTTTGTAGAAGTGCCGCTCATGCAGGACTAAACGTAAGGGTATGGATAGGAAAGAAAGGAGGTGAGTGGAGAGCGGTGACGAGAGACACGATGAAAATACATGGGTCTCACCTGGCCTATCTTGGAGCCCTTGCTTGGCACTGGGGACTAGGGGGGACATCAAAGTCAGGGTAGTCGATGGACATCTGCCTGCATGGCGACATCGGGCTCATCATGTGCACTGAGTCTGTGTCTGAGGTGTAGGAGTCTGATGTGATGGCAACAGGCGGAGGAGAGTAAGGGAGTGGCATTGAGCTGCAGCAGGACCCGGAGATGGATATCTGCTTGCTCAGGGAAACAGGGCTCATCATGGGGACAGAGTCTGATGTGGTGTGGGATTCAGGAGCGGCAGGCCGGGAGAGAGATAGGGAGATTGAGCTGATTGACATCTGGGCTAGGAGGTTGCTAGGAGGGACCTCGGCCTCCTTGGATGGGATGTGCTGAGGGCTGGCAGAGACGGATGGGTTGGTAGAAAGGCCAGACTCTGCCTGGCTGTCCTCCTCTTCCTCCTCGTTGTCATCATTGTCATCATCATCAGCACCATCGGAGTCGTCACCATCCGAATCCTGTCGGTCGGCACTGCTCACTTGACTCCGGTCTCCTGCAGATGAGAGAATATGTAAGATGGAAGACTATTCTTGGGTGGATTTACAGCACATATGAGTCATCATTTGAGTTGTTCTGAAAGAATCTAAGCTATTTGGTAGTATTTCTCCCCAAAATCTTCCTTGGAATATCAATTACTTCCTGTGATACCTTGAAATTGTGGGGAAAATGTCATATTTGTATGTAAATGCACCCCTTATTGGATTCTTTATTCAGTATATAGGCAGACAAAAAAAGTTATTATTTTTAATTCAAGGTTACACAAGTGTGAGTAATTTATTCGCATATTTAGTTATTTTGGGGGTAAATTATCCCTTTATTTTTTCTTTATCATGGAGGTTTTTTTCACACAGTTAGAAAAATCCACTGCAATTCAGCGATGTTTTGAGCTGCTGCTGCAGTGCTGCACACCCTACACCACCACACGCCCCTGAGCTACATCACAGGCAGAGGAGGAAAAACAAATATGCTCTTAAGAGACTGAGACCATAGAATGCTTTCAGGCAGCTCCTCTTTCTCTTTTTTTTTCTAAAATTAGACGCAGCAATTTCCTCTTTCTAAACGCTGTGCATGCCGCCCACATGCGCTTTTAGTTAACAGAGGAAGAAGCTGCATTTAGAATTTCTAATTAGACCATGGTGAAGTTATTGATCGACATGGCAAAACAACACAAGCGAGAGACACAAACTGTGTTTTATATCTCATACCACGAACAGGGGAACTATTTAAAGAAGGGCAATCCTGTTGTTTGACACTAAAGCAAATGGGGTAAACAAGTGTATTAAGGCAAGTTTATAACCGTAAAATATCACAGAGATTATTTCATTTGGTTCATTGAGCTTTGAGCATACAAAATCGGTATGTATCTCCTTTACAGATAAGCACTGTACCTGAGTCCTCTGCATCCTGATCATCAATGAGACCTGCAGGAACCCCCATCTCCATGCATTTCTTACTGTGGGCCTTGGATTTCATGTGCTTGGTCAGATTTCCTGCAAGAGGAGAGACAGGAAGGTCTTTACAGGTGGGTAGAGCTCGAACAATAGCACAAGAAGGAGTTTATGTAAGAGAATGCGGTCTTTGGGCAAGCTGTACATACAGGGTGAGTAGCTGATAAAGACATTTTTAAATGAACGTGGGTTGCTCTGACATCGAGTACTGTTCTGCAGTGTGGCGTGGGTAGGCAAGTTCGATAGCAAACGGTGAATCATACTGTCTTGGCTTGAGAGATGGTAAAACACTATCGTTAATTTTATAAAAGGGAAAGTTATAATAACAGTTTATGGAAATAACAATATACCGTCTCAAATGGGAATTGTGAGGAGACGAATTGTATGTTCAGATCAGAGGTCGCGTTAACCGAATATTTTCCGTCTATGACGGATTTTTTTTAACAATGACGGAAAAATCTGAAAGCAGTCCGTCATTTTAACGGATTAGAATAAACTCGGAACAGCGCCAAAGTTTCTCCGCAGCGAGGCTCCGGTGTTAAGCATGCCTGCCAAAAAGGAAATGATACCGTTTCCAAATCCAACTTTGCCGTACAAATCATTGAAATGTCTGTGAGTTTTGGCTTTACGCTGTGCGCACTCCCGCGAGGTGCAGTGGGCATGCATAACACGGCGCTAACGGTTCACGAGCGTGGGCCCCGCCCCCAGTTGATAGTTGCACGACCGTGTCATGTAACCCCCCCCTGCCCGGTCCCTCCCCGGTTGACAGTTTTCTCTCTCTCTCTCTCCCCCCCCCCACAGAGTGTAAAGGCCGACGGGTAGGTAATACTGAATTTTGACGGAAATTTTACGATCCTGTCCGTCAAAATTACGGGCAGTGAAAAAGTCTAGCGCAACCTCTGGTTCAGATATACATTTTTTTTTATTCATGTTAGCATATTCATGAGGTTATATATGTATTCAGTAATGTAGAACCCACATGAAGTGCACTATATTAAAATTCAATAAAAGTAGGTTTAGAAAATCCCATACAGTAGATGGTAAACATCTGACTATTACATGTATTGTACTTTATTCACATGAATTGAGAATACATTCAGAATTATTACATTGTATTATGTATTCGTTTGATTTTCCAGAATTTCGATACTGATATAGGTTCTGAGACTTTCATACCTCTTCGTTGCATTTAAGACAATTAATAAAGGAGATCAAACATTTAGGTTGATGGGTTAATCGATAAAAGCATCTTTATCATATTATTACATATATATACACAAGTAAAGGAGCAGTGGCTTTAAACTGAATATCTGCTGACGTCTCACCTTTTGTCTTGAAGGAGAAATTGCAGTGGACACAGTGGTATGGCCGGACATCAGAGTGGGTGCGGATGTGTTTGCGTAGCATGCTTGGCTTCTTGCAGCGGATCCCACATTCCTCACAGATGTATTTACCGCGTCCACGCCCACGTACGTAAATATATTCTTCATTAGATTTGTATCTGGGGTTGCAAAGTACCAAGGCTTACACATAAAACCAAGCAACTAACATTTCTTATTGCTGTATAATATAAGTGAATTGTCATATAATTTGAAAAACAATGTTTTGTTGTTCAATCATACCCGCCATCGAATATTTTGACCCGTCTTGGTTCTGTTTTAGATGTGCTTCTTTTTTCTGAGTCGTTGCTGGCCCTGAGATTCTGTAGCACTTTACTTCTGGTTTCAACTGATAAAGACTTATGGATTATTGGTACCTGCAGAAAGAGAAAAGTCATTGATTTCTTTTATTTAAGAAACAAGGTAGCTAAAATAATAAAACTTGGAATAGTTCTTACCCTGGGCATGACATCCTTCAGCTTGGTTGAGTAAGACAAGATGTCAGATTTCCCGCTAGTTTTTATGGCCGAGGTGTGTAGTGTATTTTCTTGGATGTCTGCTTGGAGTCAAACAGAGACATGAGCACCTTGGTGGGCAACCCAAGCGGGTTATGGTTGTTGGGGCTGACAGTCCAGACAGCATATGCTGAAGTCTTCAGGTCAGTCTGTGGAACATGAAGAGGTTTCCTCTTCATCAAGAAACACCATGTGAAAGTGGGTAGCAGTTTTCAGGCTGGGAAAAGACAGGCGATGACTGTCTTTTGTGTTAACCACAGACACAGATGTGGTCAGTTTCACCTGACCACCGTGGAAGCTGGAGGGCCTTATCAGGCATTTAGCAGGAGTCCATCTTTGTTCCTCAGCTTTCCCTTGAGGCTTCAGAGTGATATTCGCTGGGATGGAGGTTCCCTGGCCACCAGTCGTAGTATTCAGGGCAGGACCAGCCTCCTCATGAATAACAGTGGTTGTGTCTTTATTCAGTCCAACACTGTCAGGTGACATAGGCTTAACATCATCAGTAGCCTGTGAGTCTTTCTCCCCATTTGTTTTGTCCTGCAGCAGAGGTGGGGCCTCCGTTTCAATGGGACTGTCCACCGGTTCAGTTGTGCAAACCTGCCTAACAAGTGTTAGCTTCCGTTGCCGGGTAACCTCTGACATCTTGGAATTAAGATAATTGACTGACCTACCATCGGTTAGGCAGGCCACACCATGCTCATCCTTAGCCCGCTTTTGGTGCTTTTCCATGTAGATGTCCAAGCTATTGGCCGGTGACAACATTCGTTTACTGGAGGCAGTGGGTTCCTGCTGCGGGCATAGAGTCACTGATGCCAGTTTCTGTGTGCAATGTAAGGACCCAAGAGAAGGTGCTCGTTCTCCAGCATTTTTATGTGTGCTAACTATTTGAGTTTTAGAGGCATCTTTCTTTGCAGTTGTTACAGCATGAGTATCACTCTCTACACTGTGAGTGGATGAGAGGCAACTCTTATTGGACAAAGAGGGCGGATGATGAATCTGCTCATGAGTTATAAGGATCTGTGGCAATGGTATAGCACCAGCATGGGTCTGATCAAATGTGGCCCTGTGCTGTTCAACTGACAAAACAACAGCCTGTGTCTTAATCTCAGAGGCTGTTGCTTGGGTTGACCAATGTATACATTTTGGAGTACATCTGTAGACTTTGTAATGCTCATAATTGGATTGGCAATGGGTATTGCTAAAAGTGGCATGGCTGTCTGAGTTCCCTGTGTGCTGGAGAATGGAAATGTTTGGCTTGCTCTCAGAGAGGGACACTGCAATTGGTATTTGGGCACAAAACTTTTATTTTCTTCAGAGTCGGCTGGTTTGTTTGGGATATTTTCCCGACAGACTAAGATCTGGCTCAACGGCTGTTGTAATTTATGGCATATTTGAACCCTTGATGTTTGGTGCCAAGGGTGTGGAAGGCCGTGGACTTGAGGCTGCTGAGTTGGGCTACCCAAATGAATACTTTGCACCACTTGCTCATTATTTTGCAAAGGTGCTTCTCCAGGATGCAAGACAAAAGGCTGAGACATGATGCGCCTATTGGCAATGTGAATCTGCTGGGGTCTATTCTGAGTTAAAGAGCTAGCATTTGTAATGGGAGGTTTATCTAGAGGTAAGACAGCTTTTCGAACAGGTTGCTGACTTTCAGGGCTAATCTTTAAAGACATTTGGCGAACTAATGGCCCCCGTCTTCTTTCAATAAGTGGCACCTGGGTAACATGGGAGATTTGTCCAATTTTATGCTGGCCAGCAGGTGAAAGAGATCTCCTAGGAGATACATTGCCACAGTCAAAGGACTTGCTACGGTATTCAGAGGAAATCTCCACAGAGGGTTGAGTACAAGTAATTTGTTCAGATACGGCACGCCTCATCATTCCAGGCACACAAGGGTGTTGAAGGCTGTTGGTAAACCTTGAGAAGGCTCTGTGATTTTTGCTGACGCACTCCCCTCTAGAAGGGCTCTCTGACCTAGATGGCCTCATCTCTTTCAAAAGAGGCAGATATGCTGGAACAACGAGAAAGACTACTGTCCCTGCTGAGGCTTCGCGATAGGCTGGACTCAAAACTGGATTCACCTGAGGAGTGTTCCATTTGAGCTAGACGAATCCTTTTCTTTTTTGGCGGGAGTTTCTCTGCTGGTACTTTGGACAAGCTCTCACTTCTCTGAGGCCAATTGAACTGATCATGAGGCTTTTCTGCTGGCTCAGTAGTCTGCGTGTCATGATCTCTGTCGGGTTCCTCTGTGACCAGAATCTCAGGAACTTGAATGTTATTTTGCCGAACCAGACGAGACTGATGGACAGGAGTAGAGTTTTCAACAACTGCTACTACTGCACCAACAGTGCATTGTTCCTTCATTTGTTTTCCATAGTCAACACTCTTGGAATTAGACATTTGGTCATGGTAGCCATCAGATGAAACATTTGTTATTGGATCTGTTTTGTGCTTGTTGAGGGGATCCTTCTCAATATCAACAGGAGAGGCCCTGTCAATAGATTCAGTCTCAAACGAATTTGGTCGGCTTAGAGAATTTGTGTGTCTAATGACAGAAGTACCACTGCCCTGCCTTTGCAACTCTCCTTTAGTAGAAGTGATGATTTGGGTTTCTCGAATTGGTGACAGTCTGGAATCTAAAGTGTTAATACCTCTTGCTATGAGCTGAATCTGAGGTAGCTTTGACTGGTTATTTTTGGGCTGTATGTCTACTATTACAGCATGCTGAGAAAAAGTCTGACTTGCCAGAGCTGTTGGTAGCTCAAAACTAACTGAACAAGGTGGATTGGTGTCAGTAGGAGATTGATCATCCTCATCTCCAACACTTTTCATTTTCCTTCTCTTCCTAATAGATATCTGTTGATCAAGTATTCCTGAGCCGCTAGTTGATCTGGGGACTATAGGCTGCATTATGTTACCATGAAAAACATCTTGATCAGCTTCTTAACTGGGATTGGCTTGTTTTTTGGACCATGAAGCTCAGAGCAGTAGAATTTCTTGTGAGTTTCAAAATTTCTCTAACTTTCTGTACCGATTACGACATGTTTCACATTCATACATTGTGCCTTTATTTTGTTGAGGCTTTCTGTTTCTGTCTTGACTTGTGCTCGAAAGATCTGCTTCTTTGTATCAGCTCTATGGAACTGCTTTGACCATGATAAGCCCTCATCCATGGAGCGAACAGTAGGGAGGCCATGCCCCTCACTTGTGGAAAAGTCCTCAACTGCTACTTGTCTGACTAAGGTACGAGAATGTATTGCTTGATTTGGGGTTGATGGGGCTGATGAAAATACATCATCACTATAAGAACTAATTTTGTCGTCAAATGACTGACAAATTCGCAGAGGGTGGGGGAGGGGGGCAACGTTAAGGGGAAGAGCTGAGTGCCCTGGTGTAGTAGGCATTGAGTTACTTCTTGTTATTGGCAAACAATCCATTGGCGGGTATTGGGAAGGTACAGAGAGGAGAAATACTGGCTTTGATTTATCTGTGGGAGTGAAGGGAGACTTGGGAATATCTGAGCTGGAACTTGACCTTCTTCCCATTGGTTTGAGATCAAACTGAAAAGAGTCTTTAAATATGTAAGATTTAGGAGAGTCTATGCTACCTCTCCTTGACAGAGATGTCCTCCTTGGCTTTACACTGTCCAGTTGCTTGTTGTCAACCACTGCCTCATTATCAGATATTAACTTTGAAATGCGTTCTTCAAGAGAGAGTGCCCTGACTTCTAATGGTGGACGCATCTGTCCTTCCGTTGCACGTGGCTTTTGCTCATTTGCTACATGCATTACTGTTGCAACCACAGGAGGGACATTGGGAAGAGTATTCTTCCCAATGTCGATGTCCACCGGTGGAGTTATCTTAACAAATGGGCTGGGTGGACTCATTGCCTGGTCAGCACTTTCAAGAACGTGAGAAGTAGCCAGAATCGGTACTTCCCAAACTGCGAGGGCTTAGTAGACATTTGATCTGCTGCTGTTGTGAAAAGTCTGTTGCTTGTTGCCTCTGAAGCTGAGCGTTTGTCCACCTAACAGGGGAGACTTGCACTGGTGGTCTTCATCTTCACTCACAGTATCCAGTGAAAGATTGTACCGTCCACCTCTTTGAGAGATGACAGGACTGTGATGCTTGATCTCATGTTGGCTATCTGGAACTCTCGTTGCCGTTGTGAGGCTGCTTGCTCAGGTGCTGCACATGTGACTCTCGGGCTATCTGCCCTCAGAGGGGAGACATTAACTGGGTATACAACAACTTTTGGAAGTGAAGCTGTTACTTTGGGCTCATGTGCCCTCTCACTGGAAGTCTGTTTAAATGACTCGAATAAGCTGAGTCCTCTTCCCCGTGGCTTGCTTGGGTTGTACCTGCACTCTGTAAACTATTTTCGGACAAAGCTGCCACACTGCTCTGTGACGAGTCAGGGTCCAAGTCTGCAGTGCTACCATCCTCATCACTGTCCCCACTGTCTTCCGCCTCCGAATGTGTCCCTAGGGCTTTGTCAGATTCTTGAGAGAGCGAGCCACCTCCAGATTCAGAGCGTGAAATGAGACCCAGTTTTATAGCATGAGCATGTGATTTCTTGTGCTTGTACAGGTTGCTCTTAGTTTTGAAAGAAAAGCCACAAGTAACACAGGGGTATGGCCTTTCTCCTGTGTGAGACCTGATGTGTTTGAGCAGCACGCTGGGTTTTGCACATGCCCGACTACAGTATTCACACACATACTTTCCGGGCTTCTTAAGCTTCTGGTCCTTGGAAACCTGGTCAGCACCAAAGTTCATCACAGTGGTCATCTGGACTTGGTTGCTGCCAGGTGTGACTGGGACCTGAATGGTTGCTGGGAACTGTTGCTGAAAGGGGCACTGGCATGTGTGAACAACTGGTGGTTGGCTTTGTGGCAACGCATTAGAGCCTGAGGGGAACAGGTGCATGGGTTAATAGTGGAGGGTTCCAGTATTAAAGCTCATGTGCAAGCTGGGCTTTTTCCGGATTTGAAGCAACAGGCATAAAATGCGGGTTGTTGGCTTTTTTTATGTTTTTTGTTGTTTTGTAGCAAGTGGGAGAGGACTGCATTGGAGTACCCTGTGTAGATGTCTGCACATTTCCCTGTATTGGTGCTGCAATGCCAATAAAGTTCCCTTGCTATCAATATAATAAGTCTGCATTATGGGAAGGTTGGCTCTGGACAGCAATATTAACAGCTGGCATTGTTGTTAAATCACCACTATATTGGGCATAAGGATGGAAGGTTTTTCAATGGCTGTGACTGCAAGGAGCTTTTCCTCTCAGCCAGTGTACTAAAGTCAGGCTCCATGGCCTGAAGTAGAACATCAAGCGAAGCACTGCTGTGGTAAGGATCTCCTTCAAAGCTGGGGTCTCTGCTGGTGCTGTCTTTGGATTGAGACACTTTAATCAACGAGCTCCCTTCACCATCAACAGGTTCAAGTGATGAAGGCCTAGATGATGTTTCTTCCTGTTTTAGCTTTTCAGTGTCAGTGGAAGATGACCCCTTGTGAAGGGATGCTGCAACAGGTTGGGCATATTGTGGTTCTTTGTTCCCACCTGGCGATGCTGAAGGATCGTGGGAAGGACTGTTCGAGGAAGAGCAACAAGAAGAAGGCGTAGTTTCCTTGGACGATGTTCCGTGAAGCGCAGTTTCAGGTGTTTTCAACTGCAGTGGCTTCTTCACGGGAGATTTTGGAATTTTCTCTAGCCGATTCTCTGCAACAACCTTTTTCCTCTTCAGGCCTTTTATAGTATCTGCATTTCTCCGACTGCTTTCAGATATCCCTGTGGAAGAAAAAGACAAAGTTGGTTCAACATCATCTTTCTTCAAACTTTTCCCAACAAATACGATATAGGCAGACTGAGCTCAAAACTCCCAAAGAGATAATGAATAATAATTCCTGTGCTGAGTTGTTGAAATGTCCTTATTATCTTCTGAAACCAATAATATTTAATTAAAAACTAGAGAGTGAATATAAATCTAACATAATGTTTTTTATATGGGGATCAACTTTTTTTTTTAAATTAAATTTAAAAATAGTGCCTTTTTCCAACAGACCGCCCAGCACTTAACAAAGGTATGGCATATATTGTTCATCTCTCATATTGAATTATATCTTTATAATACTTTTTTTAAACATGATTTTTTTACTATGTAAAGACAAACTTAAAGATTAAAAGCATAACCTTCTCATTGAATTACTGATTTTTTTTTGTAAAGTTGAACACCTTTAATCCTTATTTTTATCATTATACTTAAAGTGGACCTATCATGCTATATTTGAAAAATATATTGTAGGGCCATACCTACAGTATATAAAACATGTCTGTGAAGGTTTTTTTTCAAAATACCAAACAGATCCTGCATTTTAGCCATGCCTCATTTCGCTCTATTTGCTCTATTCCAGCCCTGTTTTTGCAGGGGCTGATTCTGTGATGTAGCTTTAATGCAAATGAGCTGCAGCTGACCACGCCCCCCCTGCAGGAGAGTGGAGCGTGCTCTGATCAGCTGCTGGGCTCTCAGAAGAGGGGGAGGAAAAGAGAGGCTCCGTCCTCCGTGTATTATTCTTATATGATTATATAGAGTCGTTATTCATTTGTTTTAAGTAAGGGATAATATGCAGCGACGCAGTCATTATGGGGAAAAGAACACCGACAGGCTGATCAGGAGCCCGACGCGAAGCGGAGGGATCTAGATCTTCTTCTTCTTCTTCTTCTCCGTCCTCCGTGTATTGTTCTTATATGATTATATAGAGTCGTTATTCATTTGTTTTAAAGCTCAATAAATAACGAAGAAGACCTTTGACCGGCACTTTTCTAATTTTGTCTGGAAGATTTAAACTTTAACGGACATGTTGACCAGTGAAACAAATCTAACTGAAACTCTGCCGCACGGTCCCCTCGTCCCTTGGAAGAGGCGGAGAGGTGGATGTTTGTCATCTGCTGGTGGACTACCGGAGAGAATTACAGCAGGAGCAAACGCTTGCCTCGGGGAGGGAGAAAAAGAGCCAGAGCGTCCACGGCGGAGAATAAACAGAAGGGCAACCATGGCAACCATGCGCGGGAAGTCTTCTTTGCTGCTTTTGTGGCAGGACTACAGCGCCACTTACAGGCCTGGCATATGTACTACTACAGCGTCTCCAGCGCTTTCGAGCGGTCTCGTGTGAACGGACACGTCTCGTGTGAACAACACTATTCCGGGCTGATGTGATGTCAGCCCGGATGGAATCTGTATCCGCTCGTTGTAGCCCCGTTTTTAAAAGATTTGGGTACGGAGGAAAAGAGAGAGGGTTGTGTTTTCTGACACTTGGTGAGTTCCCTGGAACACCGGGGACACATATTCATGTATAAAAGACGTAAAGAAGTGCATTTTGCACGATAGGTCCCCTTGAACTTCTATAGTTAAAATTGGATCAAAATGTATTTAATAATTAAGACACATCATCCATTCCTTACTTTTTATTTATTTGCTGTTTGACTAACAGCACAGAGGCCCTCGCTTCATTACATGACATTGTTGACGTACGGAGGCTCCTCTGATCAGAAGTCCTTTCAAAACTGCATTCCAATTATAAAGTAGTATGTTTTTTTAAAAGGGCGCACCCATACCATGCTGTCCCATTCGTCGGGTTGGCCCGGCATAATGATTTAGGCATGTGTTTTTAAGGACATGTTGCATAAGGTTTTAACAGTGCCCTGTCACAGTTTCCTGGCTTGTGTAGGTATTTCCCAAGATGAGGTCAGGGTTCTTCCAAGGTCTCCAGTATAATTAGATTGAGGAACGCCTCGTCTTTACATAAATTAATCCATTCTCTACACAAACACAACTGTTTTAAAGCAGCAAACAACCAATATAACACACATTTAAAGCAAACTCTGTGATCTTTGATAACTCGTTTTAAAAAGAAAAACATTTGTATTAATTCATTCTGAAAACGTGGGAGAAGGATTTATTTTCCTATCAGAGCTAAGCAAGTCTGAAAAAAAGATGCCAGGAATTCCCCATGATCTTCAATAAAAAAAATACTTCAGTGTTTCCCATACATTGATTAATTTGTGGCGGGCCGCCACAATTAAATATGGTCCACCACAAATAGATCTCCTAAAAAAAATTAATATGAAAATGTTTTTTTTTTGGTGGTCTAATGGATGGTGAGGTGGGCTGATGATCGGAAGGTTGCAAGTTCAAACCTTGCATTTATTTTGTTATTTGAGGGGGGGTTCGGGAAATTTAATGTAAAATTAAAACCGTGCCTGAAAGATTAAGCGAGAAAGGGCTACTGAATGAATTAACCTCTTTTTTAAAAGCGGTTTTCAAAGGGATTAACCTTTTACTGGCAGGCCTTTATAGAGGATTGAGATATTCTTATTTGTGCTACTTTCTATTTGGAGTCTCCACCCAATCTCAATTACAGTGGGTGATATCATCAAAGCTTGCACGTCCTTCGTATAGCCTGTTTTTCTTTGAGTAAGATGTTGCAGTGATAAGTTTCACTAAGCTTGTACAGACATCATGAAGCTGCTTGGGTTTGAAAAAACTGGCTGTTAATTTAGTTACATAACACCAACTTGACAAAAGAAAAAATCTATAAAGCAATGCAATATCTGTGAAGCAAATATTATCTGCAGTGTTATCATTTAACTTTCTGCAGAAAGTCACTGCCAAAAAAATAAACACAAATATATTTTAAAAAGTGTGCCACAACAAGTCTAAAAACGTTGCAATGTTAAATATTAGTGAAATTCAACTTTGATCTTGCACATAGTTTTACTGAAACAGAACAAAATCAAGGGAGATGGCTACTGCAAAGATCCAGATGCTACACAGCAACTAACTGTTATTATTAACTTGACTAATGTGTCAATTTAGCATTCTTTAAAGGGTGAAATACAAAAATCAATATAGAGTCTAGGGACATTTTTGATTAACCAATACTACAATACAATACTTGTGTCTTGCACAACTAACAAAAAAACGTTTTGGCTAGGAAATTACATTTATTTATTTTGTGCTTTTACTGAAAAGCCTATTTGTATTCCTTTTAAACAACCAGGTGATGAAAAACAAAACATCCTTTGTATGAAAAAAACTACTTAATTTTTGAAAAAAACCCACATTTACTTTAAATTGTTTAGTCATGAAATAGAGCATATCTTACCTTTCTGTGAGCCTTTGGGGTCTTTAAGTTCTTTCTGTGCCTCTTCAATTTTATCTGTAAGACAAGAAGAGAAACCATTTTCAGCACAGATGCACACAGACTCTTGCTGAACAGCGAAGGCAGCGCAGAATGTAACCAATGATACTGGGGATGCTTTCCACAAGGCTGTAGCAGGGTGAAGGTCTCTCAAATGAAAAACAGATATTCTTCCATAGCTGAGAGAGATTCCATTATGGAAAGTTCTGTAATTATGAGGGGGGGGGGCAAGCCCTGTGTGCACACACAATAACACAAGCATGCACGCACACCCACGTACAGAAGTAACAGCGTGAGTAAGTATGAAATGCAGGTTAAAGTTTGCAAACTAGTCATTATGGAGGGTTCATTCGAGCGCTAACCCACAGATTAATTTGCATATTTAAATGCCATTTACTTCCCTCGGGGGAAATTCTTCCATACTTCACAATCATCACCCACAATCCAGCAGGTGAAGAACTTGTTTCTGTACAAACCATACGGACGTGTGGGAGGTGACGCAGTATTCAGTGTGTGTTACTGCAATCAATATTTGTATTCAGTTCAATGTTTACATTTATTTATTTTTTAAACTTGAAAATAATACTAAAACTTATTTTAATTTTTTTCATTTAAATAATGAAACATGCCATTTGTTGTGTTTTAGTAGTACTCTGGAAGGAGCATAAATAGCAGAACTCAGTACACTTAATGTTTTTCTCAATTCTGCAGCCATACCAGGTGCAAACTGTTATTAGTTTGTTGTTACAATAAAGAAAAACTTTTTCCTCACAATTACTTATTCAGTCTAGTATGTGAAACATATTCAGCTCACCACAAGCTTTTTTCCTGTTAACTGTATTAAATATTCAGGTTGATGTGCAAAGAAATCCACAAAATCAATGTGCTCAAGCCAATCTTTTTGTATGAATCCGTAAAAACAAACACTGCACGCGATACAGTACGTCTTCATCACACTCAGAGGAAAAAGGGTGCTTACTAAAGAAGCCCCCCATGTCTCTGCCTCCTCCAACCATGGAAACTCAAAGGAAAAATAAACCCTCTGTGGCTTCTCTGCCCTGCACATGACATTACACTGTGCATGACGAGTCCTCGAGGACCAACGGTAACAATTTAGTCGAAGATTGCACAAACGTTAATGGAGGGTGAAAGAGGATGTTCTTCTGTGGTTCCCAAAAATCACAGAGCGATGCCGGGAATACTCGGAGGAGGGGTAAACCCGAGCGGGCCAAGGAAGAGGTCAGTAGATTATGTCATCATATGTATGTGTGTGTGTATGTGTTACTATAGTCACACCCTTCCCCATCTCTCTCTGTATCCCAGGCACAGATTACATAATGCGTCCCCACCCCTCCCTGTGCTGCCGTGGAGCAAAACAAAGGCACCCTGCCAGCAGAAACACAGCAACCGAGGCTCGTGAGGAGAGGGCAGAGTGTTTGTTTATGTTTTTGACGGAGAAGGTTTGTTTGTCGGGCTCTATTTACATATACATGTTCATGTGAAAGCCCTTCAACAGAAGGAATCAGGTAGGTTGTGCTGCCAGTCCTGGCAGTGAACACAGAGGATCCCGAAGCTTCCCTCGTAGTTTCCACGGCTCAACCTCACAGCTTCCTCAAGAAAATATCCGTTATTGCAAAACCGATTTGAGATAATAATGGTTATTTAGTGGTTACAAGATTTGGAGGTGGATTTTCTACGAGCTAATGCTACATTAGTTGCAGAGATTGACACATATGGCTTGTATTAGACCCACAGCCGCGGTTGATTACTGACAACACAATTCCTATTAGCGGTTGTGTGCGGTAGGAGACACGAGTGTAAGCTATCGGATTGCTTTTTTTACGTAACAAGCCACAAAGAAGACCCCTCATGCTGAATGACATGGCATGGAAAATAACAAGAAATACCTAAATCAGTGGAAAGGGACAAGGCCGCCTCAGAAAAGGAAAACATATATTCCATGCACAGCAGGGAATGATTATAGGGTCGGTCATATTCCCTCATTATAGCTGTTGGGGTTTCTCATGGTGATATTACACTACATATTTTACTATGGAGGCGGTTAGACTCATGAAATCTGTGTAATTGTAGTGTAAGCACAGGAAAACAATAAGAGGGATGTGTGCACACATGTTGCCGCTTTTGAAAACATGAGCACATGGCTAAAAAACATGAGCATGACATTTGAGGGAAAACACAGTAGAGGGATACTAAACACAAGAAAGATCAGAGCTTAATGCTAAACTGTTTACAAGTGTGGTCTTAAACAAAAGAGGACTTAATTTTGTACCGCAGACAAAT